TGGATGCAGCAAACCACCATCGCATGTGTATACCTATGTAACAATCCTGCATGACCTGCACATGTACCCCAGAACTTAAATTATAATACAAATAAATAAATAAAATAAATAATGGTTTTTAATGACCAAAAAATCATTCCACCTGGAATCCAATAGATTTGGGATAGGTAACCAGGATAGTTGAAAATGGCCCTAGTATGATTTTCTTCACAGGGCTTTTCCAAATTAGGGGGACAAAGGCGAGTTTGTCAACCAAAACATAACATAATGCACTTGTGCTGCTCCAGAGTGAAGGAGCCCCACACAGCACATGCCTCCCAGATCCTCTTTGGCTGCCTCTTTTATCTGCTGCTTTTCAACATGAAAGAGGCTAATAAAGCATTGCAGAGAACAAAGAGCATGTACAGTATAAAAATGACAACGGAAAAACTGGAAATGTTGAACGATCTGGTGAATAAAGGGCATATCATTCATTCCTGGACATACATTTATTTTCAGTTCCAATTATTATTGCTGAATCCATGCAAGAGGTAACATATGAAGCAAAGCTGGCAACTTTGTTCATCAATGACCCAGGGAATAAGAACAGAGAAAATAAAAGTTAGCTTATGAAATGAGTCACTGCTGCATCTTGTGTTGGTATTTCTGAACATACTATTTTTGTCTAGATCCTTTTATGCTCATTACTGAAATTACAGTGAAAGATAAATGAAGGAAGCCTACACAAAGAACTTCAGGATCATCATGGCCCTTACTTAAAGAATAGTGATTTGCATTTTATTGCAGAGATAGAGTGATTCTATCAACACACACACACACACACACACAAAAAGATGGCAAAAAAGGATGTAAGTCATACAGGAGGTGACTTAGTGTGATGAGTAATGCCATTAATAACAATGGCCTTGGACCAGGAATCAGGGATCCTGGCAGACATTTCAATATACTGTAGTTCTAGCTGGCAGAGCAGTCCTGGGTTACTGAGGAAATAAATCCTTGAACCCCCCCATGCTTTAATGTGTCAAGTGCAGGGAACCTTTAGAACCTTCCTCATTTCTCAAAAGTGATTGTGCCAATCAGAGGAGAACCAGCCACTGTGCTTCTCCTCATCAGCTAAAACAACAAACTGCTATGACTATATCAATAATTCATTTAACTAAATCCTATTGATGTTTTTGTTGGAATGTATGCATTTATCAGAGTATAGATTTGCTTTTAAATCTCTAAGTCTCAACTTATACTTGATTTGTAAATACCGTATTTTTTAAATCAGTAAAGTCATACTATCCCCATTCCTTTTTCTCTTCATCTGTCTTTTTCCTCTGGATGTATTTTGCTGGAAACATACACGGAATTCTAAACTTTTTCCACTCTTAGTGTCCAAAGTATGGCTGGGCATGAGCAGCTTTGGTATCTATTAGGAGTTTATTAAAAATGCAGACCCTCGGGCTCCACCCTTCCCCTGTGGGATCAGACTTTGCATTTGAACAAGAATCCCAGGTGATTCCTTTTGCACCTTACGTGTGAGGAACACTAATTTAATTCAATTTAATTGTCAGGTTGGTTTTGAATCATCATTTATTTCATACTCCAGTGGCAAAGATAAGAATAAAGATTCAAAACAAAGCACACAAACTCTCAAACCTTGCTTAGGGTTGGGAGAAGTCTCTAGTGGTCTAGTCCAGACTCCTCTTCTTAAATTGAAAGGAATAATAGTATGCCCAGGATTATGTTCTTACTGAGCCAGAAGCAAAAATCTTAATCTGCTGACTTGAGTCATAGGTAGTTTTCAACAATACCATGTTGACAAAATTTACTTTGCTACTGAACTTTTCTATTTTCTCTCTCTGGCCACAGAAAAGTTAATCACAGGTTCTCTGGGTTACCCTTGGTGACTTGGTCTGTGACTCTTAGGCACCTGTGTGCATGTACTTATTCATAGCAGAAAACAACTATAAACTGCTCAGTGGAGACCAAGGTCATCGAGGCTGCCTTAGTGGTGGCTTGGCTAATTCACTACCCTTTGCCTCTGGCTCCTCAATTATGGAGTAGGAGATGTTTCATCTTTACAGAGACCTTTGACAGTCTTAGCTGAAAAGCCTCTGAGAAGTGAAGAGTAATGCTGTGCCCTGCAAATGAAAACTACACCACTCTGAGAACTCTCTCTGTATCTGGAACTGAAACTGAAATTCACAGCTGTCATTGGTGTAAATCATATATTACTCAGCAGTTTATTCCCACAGTCAGAGCCAAAGTTGTTTTGCAATTTATGAGCTGTACACACTTGGTTCTCTGTGGAAATAACAGTCTATGATAGAAAGAACAATAGATTTGGGGTTTGAAGTTCTGGCTTTGAGCCCCACTTTCTCCACTTACTACTTCAGTGCCTAGAGGCTGCTCTTCCATCTCTCCGGGCTTCTATTCCCTCTTTTTAAATAGCCTTAATTCTGCTTATGTCAAGATATTCCCCTCTAGTGTTTGCCATTGACACTATTTTTCATCTGCCCCAGTGTAGAGAACATCCTTCCACTGTTCCAGTGTTCATATTTTTCCTTTACTAAGACCACTTGTTTTTTATTTTGCTGTCCACGTGGCCTCAGGCAATGTAACTCTACTCTCAGCTCTTCCAGAGCAGTATGTGACCATGCTGAAGCCAATGAGCACACTCAATGCCCTCTGGTCTCAAAAACTGTGTTTAGTAGATGACATGTGAACCATTGCACTCGCCCAATGGGATGGTCCCGGGACTGGCCAGTGAATGCTGCATCCAAGAGTTTCGCTTCCGTTTCACTGCGCAAGGAACAAGATGTATGTCATTTTTATGACCATTCCCTTCCACGACAGATACCAACTTGAGGACAAAATTGACACACTGAGGTGGCAGCGATGAAAGAACTGGAGCCTGAAAGGCACCATTGACTTCTGGATCAAGCCACACTTATAAACAACTTTATCTCTGTACTTTTCAGTTATCTAAAATAGTTCTCTTCATTGCTTAAACAAGGTTGAGTGTGTGTATTTCTAAACCAGGAAACCTAATCATGTGGGCTAATATAAACATTGTGGTCACAACAATGTTTTTAATTAGCCAACTTTTCACACATTTTTAAAAATATTATTTATAATTTACTCCACTCCAAAAAACATAGCATGGGATGTTGTTTAGACAACCAATGCTAAGGATTCTTTGAATACTGAGATAAAAATACATATACACACACACATATATACAGTATGTGTATATATATACACACACATATATATGTACATATATGTATATATGTGTGTGTATATACATATATGTGTATACATATATATACATATGTGTGTGTATGTTTTGTAAACTACGAAGTACTCAAAGATCTAAAATATCATTATTTCACAAAGCAGTGAGTCTTAAGGAAACATTAATCTTGGTCTTACTTTATTTAAGGTAAATAAACTAAAGGAATCTATAGGTCTTATTCCCCAAATAGTGAATATACATATCCACACAATTTCCACAGAATCTCACAGAGGTCATGGACAAACTTCACAGGTCATTTATTATGTCTTCAGGACTGATCTTTTAGAATTGATTCTTTAATGTATAGTTTATGGGTACATAGCTTAACAAAGATTTTTAAAACCATACACTGTCCTAAGCACCAATGCATTCTAAGAATTCCTCCATCAAATATATCTTCTTAGAAACTCCCACCTCAAAGCTCTATTAGAATTCAGTCAAAGCTCCATTACAATCAAAACCACAATTAGAGATGTTAGTTGAAGTCAATGGTCCTATGCTTTTCTTGTGATCTGCCTTTACATGTCTCCTTAAATTATTTCATAATAAGGTGGGGAAATTTTTGATGGCTATCTAAAACACAGATTGAAGTAGAAAAAAACCGCAATAATTAAATTCAAGATTTTATTTGTGAAGTCATTTTACATCCGTCTAAAAGCAACTCAGAATATTTCTACAGCTCCCTCTTCCAATCGAACTTCAGAAAGGAGAGGGCAGCAGACAGATATGGGAAAAACGAAGCAGGTTTAGAAAGAGTAAGAAAGTATTTCCAACCTCCCCCACTCATCCACTACAAACCTCGTGCTGTGAAAAATCTTCAGCACAAAAGAGCAACAGCAAATTTATGATGCAAGCTTGGGCAGAGGGCTGCAGTTTTAGAGTTGGAAAAACCATGATTTGAATTTCAATTTTCCCACCTTCTTGCTATGTGATATGGGGAATTTACTTAATTGATTTCTAATTGCTACCCCTGCTTTTGCTTTTTCCCTTCTCTTTAAAGCCTTTTCTCAACATTCTTCTCATTGCCTATACCTCTCCAGCCATGCCAAAATGCGCTAGCATGTTCTTCCCTAATGGACTGCCTGTAACAGTCATCTGCAGACAGTTACAGGGCTTACTCTCCCACCTTTGGGCATTTGCTTCCATCTCACAGTTTCATGGAAGGAAGTCCTGACCCCCATGTTTAGTACTGCAACTCCTTCATGTTGCTCTAAGTTTCATGTTCCTTAGTCCATATCATCTTGAACAGCCTGTATTATATTAACATATATGTAAACATTGTGTTTATTGTACCTTCTTTGCCAGATTATAAACTCTGGAGAGATAGGAGAAAATAGAATTGATGTGATTCTCCAATGTCATCCCATCACCTAGAAGAGTGCCTGGCATAATAGGAACTCAATGCATGTTTAATTTATATAATTAAATATATTAATCTCTGTGAATTTTTTTAAATCTGGAAATTGGACAATGTGATATTACTGAGGTAGACCACCACTACCGAGGGAGTTCTAACTGTACCTCTGTAAACAAAACCACAAGGAAGTTTACACAGCAGCTGGGCAGGGCCCGCAGCAGCTCAGCAATGCCTCTGCTGACAGACTGTGACTAGACTACCTCCTTGCTGCGCAGGGCATCTCTGAAAAAAGGCAGCAGTGAGAGTTCCGCGAAGCACCAGCCCTTCCACCATGGTTGCCATTGGAGAGTAGTAGCCATGGCTCTTTGCTATCCTATGGCTGTGGACCTCAACAAGGGCCACAAGGTAACCAAGAATGTGGGCAAGCCCAGGCACAGCCACTGCCATGGGCATCTGACCAAACACACCAAGTTCATGCGGGACATGATCCGGGAAGTGCTTGGCTTTGCCCCGTACGAGCGACACGCCATGGAGTTGCTGAAGGTCTCCAAGGACAAACGGGCCCTCAAGTTCATCAAGAAAAGGGTGGGGACACACATCTGTGCCAAGAGGAAGTGGGAGGAGCTGAGCAATATCCTGGCCTCCATGAGGAAAGCCGCTGCCAAGAAAGACTAAGCTCCCTCCTCTGCCATCTCCCTGAAATAAACAGCTGCACCCCGCCCCGCCAAAAAAAAGCCAGCAGCATGTCAGGAACTTATAAATAAAGCTCCACCTTCCCAGGACAGAGCACCTGGGAAAAGAGGCAGGTATGAGTTCCACTGTAGCAGACTTAAACATACCTGCCCAGCAGCTCTGAACAGAACAACGGAACTCCCAGCACAGCACCTAAGCTCTGATAAGGGACAGACTGTCTCCTCAAGCAGCTCCCTGACCCCCATATATCTGAAGAGGTACCTCATAAAGGAGAGCTCAGGCTGACATCTGGGCAGGTACCCTTCTGGGACGAAGATAACAGAAGAAGAAACTGGCACAACCCTTGCTGTTCTGCAGCCCCCACAGGTGATTCCCAGGCAAACAGGGTCTGGAGTGGACCTCCAGCAGACCTGCAGCAAAGGAGCCTGACTGTTAAAAAGAAAACTGAAAACCAGAGAGAAATAGCTTCAACATCAACAAAAAGGATGTCCACTCAGAGACACCATCTGAAAATCACCAACTGCAAAGACTGCAGGTAGATAAATCTACGAAGACTGGAAGAAACCAGTGCAAAGGGATGAAAACACCCAAAACCAGAATGCCTCTCTTCCTCCCAGGGGTCATAACTCCTTACCAGCAAGGGAACAAAGCTAGATGGAGGATGAGTCTGATGAACTGACAGAAGCAGGCTTCAGAAGGTGGGTAATAAGAAATTTTGCTGAGCTAAAAGAACATGTTCTAACCCAATGCAAAGAAACGAAGAAACTGGAAAAAAGGTTAGATTAAATGCTAGCTAGAATAACCATCTTAGAGAGGAACGTAAATGAATTGATGGAGCTGAAAAACACAACACGAGAACTTTGAAAAGCACACACAAGTTTCAGTAGTCAAATTGACCAAGCAGAAGAAAAGATATCAGAAATTGAAGATCAACTCAGTGAAATAAAATGAGAAGGCAAGATTCAAGAAAAAAGAGTGAAAAGAAATGAACAA